CTGGGAATTGAACTGCGATCTCCTGGATCATAGGTCGATGCTTAACTGCTGAGTCACACTGAACAGGCTTACTTCTATTTCTTTATTATTAGTAAAATTGTGCTTACCTCACAAGGCTCTTGTGAGGAATAATTAAGGTAATTGTCATGAGTACTTTGTTAACTGCAACATGCTATTTTCATATGAGGGATTATTAACAATAAAAAAGCAAGGGCTTCTTTCTTTTCTTGGGAGTGCTACAGCAAGTCCAAATTCCTGCCTGATTTCAGGGTCTTTAATGATCCATCCTCCCTTCCTCACTCAACCTCTCACCAACAGCATTCCCTTCTCTACCTCGCTGGTGCCTCACAATGCCACATACACCGGCCTTTCATGTGTCAGCAGGTCAATCCAATAAACATTTATTGGATTGAACACAAGCTCTATAGAGTCTCTATACCAACCCAGGGAATATGGAGAACAACCTAAGTTCCTCTCTTCAAAATTTCACTGTCTAGTTATAGGTGGGGATGAGACACATATGTAACCCTCTCCCACCCCCACTAACTTTACTCTCCCTAGAAGCCTTCCAGTGGGACAGTAGCAGTTTTAGGTTCACAACAGAATTGAGCACAAAATACAGAGAATTCCCATATACTCCCTGTCCCCACACATGAACAACCTTCCCCCGCCCTCATGACTATAGACATTCTGCACAGAGTGGTACATTTGTTATCCGTGAACCTACATTTATACATCATTATCACTGAAAGTCAGTAGTTTACTTTTGGTGGTGTACATTCTGTGGGTTTTGACAATATACCTACCACTGTAGTACCATACAGAATAGTTTCACTGTCCTAAAAATCTGTGCTCTGTCTATTCATCCCTCCCTCTCCTCTAAGCCCTGGCAATGACTGATCTTTTTATTGTCTCCATAGTTTTGCCTTTTCCAGAATGTCATATAGTTGGAGTCAGAGTTTGTAGCCTTTTCATATTGACTTCTTTCACTAAATAATGTGCATCTAAGTTTCCTCCGTGTGTTTTTCTTTGCTTGATAGCTCGTTTCTTTTTAGCACTGAATAATGCTCCATTGTCTGGACTTCTTTTTAATGTAACTATTTACAGTTATAAATTTCTATCTGAGCACTGCTTTCATTGCTTGTCATAAGTTTTGGTATGCTGTGTGAAGTACTGTTTATAGGTGTGTGGTAAATGGGAACATGGGCCCCTTCCCATGCTCCAACTCCCCCTCCCACCCTGTGGGAATATAGTGAAGGCCATCTGTAAGCAAACTGTGAAACTTTGGGAGCCTGGCCAGCTCATTAGTCTAAGAAAGGCCAAAGAGAAACTGCTTCTAGATGTGAGCCTGGATTGTAAACAGCTAGTGTTTTGATCTCATACAGCTTGCACTCAATCCCCCCCACTCCTACCCAGCTTGCACTCAATCCCCCCTACCCCTGCATCAGCTGGCCACATGCTGGATGGGACTTGGTGGAAAACTTCACTGGTCAGCCACCACCAGTGTGCACGTAAGTCCTGATAAACCCATCTCTTTCACATCCAGTCCCCCAAGTTATTTGGAATCCACAAACAACACCCTAAGGTTTTCTCCTACCTCGGCTATTTGTATAACAAAAGGAAAGGCAGGATAAATGCTGGGTTACTTCCATTTATTTACAAGTTTTGAAAATAATGAGTAGGTTCTGTAGTGTGCCAGTAATAAATTATTGCCTTTCAGTTCCAAATTTACCTTTTTTGCCTGCTTGGTGAAGTGGATTTGTGCCCTTTAAATATTTTTCCTTTGCCAGCTGTCAGGTATTAAGCTTTGTCAGTAGAGGGCACCAGAGAGATATTGCAGCAAAAAAGGAATTTTGTTTCCTTTTTCTAGCGTTCTGGTTAGGCAGGCTTCTGTGCTCTGGGCAGCTTCTCCAGTGTCTGGCTCCTACAATGCATAGACTTCTTCAGCAGCTGGCTTTTTCAGTATATGGCGGCTAGCAGTCAGAAACAACTAGTAACCCCCTCAGGTGGTTTGTAGTAGAGTGCCTCTTGTGAGACACCTCTTTGTAAATGGCTTTCCCCAGCACCCTACAAGATAGGTTTCTGGCAGCTTCTGCCAGTGCAGCACCACAGTGGCAGTGACTTCCCTGCCATCTAGTGAGCCACAGGCACATCCTCTCTAACAAAGTCTGCACCTCAACTCTGGGGTGATCTTCATTGGACACTTTATCTCAATCAACCCTAGAGGTAATGGCTATTCCTTATATTACTAATCCTGTATTCTTTTAGAGTTCTCTTTTGATTCTTATTAGCCAATCCTTATTACTCCAATCCCCTTATAGTTAATAAGTCTTTAAATAAATAAAACCTCCCCTGTTCAAATTACTGTGTGGTTCCTCTCACCTAAATAGACCTAGACTGATACATGCAGTAATTTCTAAAGATGACAAATTTTGTTTGATGAACTGATCTGTCAAAAATTAAGTATTTATGTTCAAAAAAGGACAAAATTGCCTGGCCAGACGTGGCTCGGCAGTTGAGCCTCGGACTAGGATCTAGATCATTGTTCGATTCCCGGTCAGAGCACATGCCCAGGTTTCAGGCTCAGTCCCCAGTTGGAGATGTGCAGGAGGCAGCCAATCAATGACTCTCTCATCATTGATGTTTCTGTCTCTCTTTCTCTCCCTCTCTCTGAAATCAATAAAGATATTTTTAAAAAACACACAACCAATTTAACAAAAAAAAAAAAAATAGACTTAATGGAAGATGAAAACTGAAATGTCTAAAACTGACAAGGAACTGATATCTATAATACACAAGAAACCATCAGCGAGAAAAGTAGAGTAAGCCCAATAGGAAAATGGGCAATGGATATGAATAGCAATTTGAAAAGAGGAAACAAAAGGTTATTAAGAAATCTCAGTAATCAGGAACGAAATAACAATGAGAGCACATCATACCTGCTGTTGGGAAAAGTTTGGAAGCTGTATAATGGTTATATCTCAAATATACCTCAAATCTTCACATTTACTGTCACTCTAGTAAAGGCCACCATCATATTCTGCATTAGCATAATACAAAACGTAACTGGTCTGACCACTTCTATTCTTGCTCCCCCACAATTCACTCTTCCCCTAGGAACAAGATAAATGTAAGTGTAAATCAGATACCGCTTCTTTGCTTCGAACCTTTCAATAACTTCCTGTTGCTCTTGGAATAAAATCCATCAGCACAGCCTGCAGGTGGTCTGCATGATCTCCTTACCTACCTCTCCACAGTTTCATACTGTGCCACTTTCCTTGTTCGCTGTTCTCCAGCAAACATTTCAGTACCTTGAAGACTTCAAGCTCTTTCCTTCCTCATAGGCTTTGCATATGCTATTCCCTTTGAATCTTCACGTAGCTTGCTCCTTCTCATCTTTTGTTCTGAAAGAAGCCTGGCCACATGTTCTTACTGATTGGTTTTAGGGAGGGAGAGAGAGGGAGAGAAATGTCGATTTTTGTTTTTTCACTTATTTATGCATTCTTTGGTTGATTCTTGTATGTGCCCTGACCAGAGATTGAACCTGCAACCTTGGCATATGAGGATGATGCTCTAACCAACTGAGCTACCCAGCCAGGGCTAGCTACATTTTTTCTGAAGCAGATCCTACTAAGTCTCTAACACTGTTACCCTGCTAATTTCTTTCATAACACCAACATAATTTGTAATTATTTTTTAAATATGTCTTTATTGCCCTAGCCGGTTTGGCTCAGTGGCTAGAGTGTCAGCCCTCAGACGGAAAGGTCCCAGGTTCGATTCCAGCCAAGGGCAGGTATCATGGTTGCAGGCTCAATATCTGGCTCCTGTCAGGGTACATGCAGGAGGCAACCAATCAATGTGTCTCACATCAATGTCTCTTTCTCCCTTCCACTCTCTCTGAAAAGCAATATAAAAAATATCCTCAGGTGAGGATTAATAAATAAATATGTCTGATTTCAGAGAGAAGAGAGGGAGAGAGAAACATCAATGATGAGAGAGTCATTTGATCAGCTGCCTTCTGCACACCCCTTACTGGGGATCGAGCCCACAACCCAGGAATATGCCCTGACTAGGAATGGAACTGGGATCTAAATCATAGGAGCACCCCGGCCAGGCTAATTTGTAATTATTTTACAAACAAACATTACTTATTTGTAATTATTTTACAAACAAACATTACTTAATTTTTATCTCCCCTACTAGATAATGCACTTCATGAGGGCAGGAGCCATGTTTGTCTTTTTTCACCATTTACCTCCAACACAAAGCAATGCCTGAGACAGAGTATGCATTAAAACATGTACAAATGAATGAATCTGTTTTGCATTTGTTGGGAAGCCTGGACCAGTGAATTAGTTTACAAATGTAGATGCTTCACACTTAAATGTGTTTTAGTAATGCAACAACCACGCTCCACACATTCATTTAAACTTTTATATTTTATGCTTTAAAAATAATCACTGCTTCCAAACTTTACCCCTCATGTTGTATCCCTCTATATTTGTAGTCGTCTACCCGTTCAAGTTCTTTACCGTTTCGAACTTGTGGTTTATTGTTTTCTAACTTATTTGTAAGAGCTTTTTGTATATTACCCTTTGTTTTGCAGATAGTTTTTCCCAAGATTGTCTTTTGACTAGTTTTGTGTGTTTTTTTAACCCCGTCCCTGAATTACTCTAAGGCGATGTCCGAGCTGACTCCAGAACACCAAGCAAAACTGGTTGGGTGGCAGGGCAAAAGGACATAGTAGCAAGTGAGCACAGTGAACCTTAAGAACGAAAACAATGATTACGCAGGTGCCCGCGAGCCGCCCCACGCCCGCCTTCCCGGAAAACTATAGCAACTTGTTCCCTCCTTCCGCCCGGTGTCCGGCGCAACTTTCTGACGTCACGGACGCACCGCACAGTTAGGTTAGGCCGCGCAAACTCCGTGGCCGTCTATCTGGCGCGCTGTCGCCAACGTTCTCCCGCCGCCGGAAGTCCAGGGCACGTGACCGGGTGACAGCGCTAGCTGAACTGCAGGGCTGGCTTTAGGTGTTGCGGCACGCAAGGGATGGCGGAGGCGCCTCCTGTTCCAGGTACTGTTCTGATCCGTGTGGGAGCGTGGGTCTCTCTCTCTTGCGGAAGTTTGGTCAGTGACGAGTTCTAGGGCTTCGGCCATTCATATCGCGAGAGTGGCGCGTACTAGGGTTGGGGATAGTGGCTCCGAAGGGCCGAGCACGCGCTTCGTGCTTACGGAGACCTCGACCATCGTCGACCAGGTCGTGAAGCCGGGCAGCTGGGTTTCTGAGGGGAGTGAGTTTGTTGTAGCGCCCAGCGAGTTGATGTGGGTGTCCGGTATCTCCGGGGGTAGCGGCTGCACTGATCTCCGACTAGCGGGCGTCGGTGACTGGCAGGCTCTCGACGCGTAGTGGCTTTGCACTCAGTGCTTAAGGTGTATTCGTGCTTCCTGGTGCAGCGGTGCGGGCGCGAGCCGAATACCCGTGGTTTCCAATCCCAGCCTTCCACGAACTCCCAGTGTGACTGTCATTTTCTTCATCTTTCAGTTGGGGGTAATTAGGTTAATTCCTGTGAAGGCTCCCGCCCTGTGCTGTACCTGCTCCATAAGTATTAGCTCACTTCCTCTTCCGGAGTTGCCTCTGTGTATGGAAACAGCCTCATTTGGCTGTTAATGTAACATCCATTTCCGTTTACTTCAGAGTGTACCATAGATCTTTGTTTTGCAAACTTTTGGACAGCGACCGAAAAGGCACATTTAACTTTGAGACCTCAGTGCACACATACATAAATATAAAAGCGAACCAAAAGTTTTCAGGAAGCAATGGTTTTCCTTACTGTCTTAATACACTGTACTTTCTGTTTCTTCTGAAAAATTACTTGTCGCAGCTCACCACATTGATTTGGTTTCAGGACCCACTCTTTCTGAAAAACAGGGCAGCAGTTTGCCGCATGAGATTTATAGTCATTGATTTGGGTCTTAGTTCTGCTTCCTACTAGCTTTCAGGGTACTAAGAAGATATATATGTGTTTGTGTACTGGGTGGCAGATAAAATGTATTTATTACTGTGGATCTTGGTAAAAAGTTGGAAAACATTGCACTGGTGTACCCCAGTCCTGATTTAGGTATTAAGTCATCTTGGTGGGTGGGAACGTTTTTAGGGTGGTGTTTTGTTATTCTCCCACCCATTCTTTTTCCATCTCCTCTAAAGTGGATCCATTTAAATTCTCATCCTCAGGTTCACTTCTGACCCAGTTCTTTATCTTTCAATATTTGAAGAAGAATTGGATGGGACTCGTTGTGAGTCATAGTTTTGGCCAACAGTGTTGTTCCCCAGGTTACAACCTCTTCTTCCCCATCTACTGAGACAAAGTCCAATACTCCAAAGATCTCCCCACTCCCTCTCATGTTCCTGAGCTTGCTTTTGCCTTAGTTTCTATTCCAGCATGATCTCTAACCCACACCTCCATCCCCACTCAAGGTTTGGTTCTTTTGCCTGCCTCTGTCCTCAAATAGCAGCCCAGTCCCTGGGGCTATCTTTCTGCCCATGGCAGACTCCAATGCCAGCTTTGTCTCTGGACTTTATAATCTAGTTTACTCTGTTCCACCCACCTGTTGGACACCTACCAGGCTGCCATGTAATCTTGGATCTAGGGTACCACTTGTACTATAGTAATGCCTTGGTATGAGACATCCCATTTACTGAGTAACTTCCAAATATTTTAAGTAGTTGGGGGGAAAGGGTATTTCAGACCTTTGTGTCTCAGGTCCAGTTTCCTGATTCACGTGCCCTTTCCCCCTTCCTCATGTCTCTTAAGGCTCTCTCTGAGGGCTTTGCCTACTACATCATATCTAGTGGAACATATGCTGTATATTAATAGGTACTGCCCTGTCTAGAATCTCTAGTTGAATCAACTCTTTACTGCTTAACATGAAACACCCTCTTCCCATCCTTTACCAGGATATTTACTGACCCTTTTTCTGCCCCTCTCTCCAACCTTGCTTCTTCAAGCAGGAAAAGACTACACAATACCCACTAGGTCTAGTCTATCCATTCCCACCTTTAACTTATCTGTTAGGTTTCCAGAATACCCTCTCTGCCACTTTCTGAATTTGTAAGGCCCTCCACCCTATCCCTAGGATTCTGCCTATGTGAAAGCTTTCAAAACTAATCCTGGATTGAGCGAGAGGTTACCCTATGACCTTTATGATCTCGTTCACTTCTTTAGTGTATGTTTCTATGGTACCAGCTGCCCAGCCTCTGACAGTGTAGCGTGGTGATAGTGTAAGAGCATGGGTCTCTAGAACCACATAGCATGGGATGGAATTCTGAATTTGCTTTAGAAATCCCTTGTGGCCTTAGGCAAGTTTTCTTATCAGGAATGTGAGGATTAAATGAGCCAACATTGCAAAGTGCTTAAAACAGTACCTGGCACATGTTAAGTATCTAATAAAGTACCTAACAGGCTTATTAATAAACCTGAAACCCCCGTGCTCTGAACTGCACCCATCTGTGGTTGGCTCTGTGTGTTTTGGATAGTCTGTAATCCTAACAGCAAAAATAAAGCACCATTTTAACCACCTTATACACGTTTCTAACTTGCTTTACTTTTCATAGCAACTCTTTGATGTAGGAATTATTACTATCTCCATTATATATAAGAAAACTGGGGTTAAGTAACTTGCATAAAGACACAATAAGTAATAGGCAGGGGCTTAAATCCATGTCTCTTAGGCCCTATAAATTCATAGTATATTCTGTATGCTTCATATAGTTCTGACTTTGCTACTAACTAGTTTTGCATCCTCAGGCAAATCATTTTTTTTTTTTTAATATATCTTTATTGATTTCAGAGAGAGGAAAGGAGAGGGAGGGAGAGAGAGAGATAGAAACATCAATGATGAGAGAGTCATTGATCGAGCCCGCAACCCAGGCATGTACCCTGACCAGGAATTGAACCCCAATCGCCTGGATCCTAGGTCGACGCTCAACCGCTGAGCCACGCCTGGCCGGGCGAGGCAAATCATTTTGTCTTTGCGCTTCATGGACTGAGTTGACTACACAAAGAAGCATCTTGGGGAATAAATGAGTGGGTTGAAGGGTCATGTGTTCAATTTTTGAAACCCTGGGATTCTGGACTATATTATAGAGGTTATGTGTGGAAAACCTAAAATATATTCCTGGGGGGAAGAGATGGGAACTAATGTACTCACTATGCTAAGTACTATCTATATGAAATCATATTTAAATTTCATAGTAACCCTTTAAAATAGCATTATCTTTTGTCATGGATGAGGATGCTAGGCTAAAAGCAATCAAGTGATAGACTGAAGTTCATAGCATAAGTTGGAGCGTCAGACTTTAAACTGATTTTGGCTGATTCCTAAGCCCATTTACTTGATATTACACAATGCTACATTAGAGTTTTGAAAGACCACATGGAACCTACTGACTGATGTCTCAACTCTGAACTATTTGCTGACCTTAAATTTTTTGATGAAATAAAATAAAAAAAATAAAAAAATTTTTGATGAAATAAATGGTTGTATAAATAATGCCTGATGACCCAGGTGAGCAGTTTTACTTAGCATCTCTCAGCGGTGGCTATTGGTGAAGCTACTGGACATGCAATGATCAGTCTTCCACATCACCTTCATAGGAAACAGGTCTTACTAAGAGCCTGTTTTACACAAAGTCCTTAGGAAAATAACTTTTAGATACGGCTTATAATCTTGTGGGCTTCATGGTTGAGCAAGTAATTTCTTTACTGGCATGTCTGTTTTTTATGTCCTAGGTACTTTTAAATTCAATACGGATGCTTCTGAGTTTGTTCCTCAGGAGAGAAAAAATTCTGGTCTACATTGTGGGGGTCAAAGGAGACTAGATTCTAATAGAATTGGTAGAAGAAATTACAGTTCACCACCTCCGTGTCACCTTTCCAGGCAAGTACCTTATGATGACATCTCTGCTGTTCATCAGCACAGTTACCATCCTTCAGGAAGCAAACCTAAGAGTCAACAGACGTTTCAGTCCTCTGCTTCTAATAAATCACTCAAGAGCCTTCAGAATCAACCTGGACAGAAATTGAGGAGTGAAAAGCAGCATATCAGAGTCAAGAGAATACAAAGTCTAACTGACCAGACCTCAGATGCATCTGGCTCAGAAAGTGTGGCCAGATCAGAGAGTGGGACAAAGCCTAGAGAGCACAGCCCTGCTGAAAGTGAGAAGGAAATTATTGGTGCAGATCCCAGGGGAGCAAAACCCAAAAAAGCATCCCAATTTGTATACAGTTATGGTAGAGGACCAAAAGTCAAGGGGAAACTCAAATGTGAGTGGGGTAACAGAATGACTCCCAAACCTGAGGATGCTGGACCTGAAAATACCAAACCCGTAGGGGTTATCCACCCTGACTCTTCAGATACATCCTTCAGAAAAGGAGTACTGGATGGGTCTGGGGCCAAACGCAACGAACAGAGAAGACACTCACAGAAAAGACCTCCCTGGGAAGTGGAGGGGGCGAGGCCACGTCCAGGCAGGAATCCACCAAAACAGGAGGGCCTACGACATGCAAGTGCAGGAACCAGAAACAATATCACCCCCATTCTAAAGGATAATCTTAATGAACGACCAGCAAAATCTGCCTGTAACAATGGGAACTTGGCAGTTGTCAACAAGTCTTCCAGACGGGTTGACCCAGAGAAAAGTGCTATGAGGAGACAGGATCCTCCCCGAGGCAAACAGAACCCTGTGCTAAAGAATGTGGAAACACACACAGGTAAGTCTACCTAGATGGATGGAAATGTTTTGTTTTATTTTTAAGTTTTTGAATAGGTAGTATATTCACACAACTTAGAAGCCAGAAAGTATAGAAAGGTACCCAGTACCCTGGCCAAGTGGCTCAGTTGGTTGGAACATTGTCTCATATACCAAGAGGTGATGGGTTCAATTCCCAGTCAGGGTACATTCCTAGGTTTCGGATTCAGTCCCGAGTCAGGGTATGTATAAGAGGCAACTAATCAATGTTTCTCTCTGTTGCTCTTTCTCTCTCTTCTCTCTCTAAAGTCAATAAAAAATACATATCCTCAGGTGAGGATTTTTAAAAAAGGTACACAGTGAAAAGTCTCTCTATCCTTGTTCATAATCTGCCTGGATTCTGCTATCACCTCTCCCCTCCCCAGTAGATAACTATTTACTTAGTTTTTATATCATAAGCAAATACAAATAAGGAATTCTTTTCTTAAATAAGGAAATTTGTGTTTTAAAAAATGCATATATGGGTGGTATAGATGTTTGGTAGCAAGAATTTATTATTATTTTGATTTTTCACTTTATTTTTATTATACTTTGTAATAAAAATACAGATCTTCAAACAGTCCAAGACAGAATAATTCTACAAGCATCAGTAATCAAAAGTTATTCTCTATCATAAACTAAATGACTGATAATAAATACTGACAGAAGACTACACAATGTACCATAATATAAAATGTAGCAAGTGATTTTCCTATGTTCTCTTTTCTTCTTCATGGATGAATATTTCTTTATTTGCTTTTTAAAAAATTATTTTATTTTATTGTTGACAGTGTTACAGATGTCCCCCAATTCGCCCCCTTACCCAGCCCTTGCCCCACCCCAGACCTTCATCACACTGTTGTCTGTGTCCATTGGTTATGCATATATATATATGTTCTTTGGTTAATCTCCCAGCCCTGGAGTCTGTTCCATGCCTCCATGCCTCTGGACCTATTTTGTTTGTTTGTCAGTGCAAGATTTTTTTTGAATCTTGAAAGCACAAGTAGGGGATGGTAACATCTCCACTACCTCACCTGGTTCCAACCTACATCATCTTTTGTCTGCTTATCTGCAAGAATTCCTAACTAATCTCACCATCTCCAGTTTCTCTCAGTTCATCTCTTACACCAGGATCAGAGAGCAATCTTTCTAAAACACATTGAATTATGTCACCCCTCACCCCCTTTTGTTCACTTTATCTTAACACCTATAAATTTTGGCTTCTGCCTTACCCAACAACCCCATCTTCTGCTGCCTCGGTCCCCACATTTTATTTCCTGGACTCTATATCTTTTCACTTTCCATGATGTTGCATATGTAGCTCCCTCTGCCTAGAATGTCTACCACTTAGCTAACTGGTGAGTTCTTACTCATTTTTCAAAAGCTAGTTTAGTCACATGTCCAGGAAACCTTTTCTCACCTCTACAGATAAAATTAATATTTTCCAGCCCTGGGCTATGTCTTTTCCTTACATATACATGCTTCTATAGCCGTTATACTGGAAACCATCATTTGTTTATGTGTCAGTTTCCTCCACTTATCTGTAAGCTCCTTAAAAGCAGAGACTATTTTTTTCTTGACTGTTAGAACGTTGTTTCTTAAACTGAACTGAAAACTTCCTTCCTATAAATACTTTCTATCCTCTGGTTCAAGTTCTGGCATCTGAAGCTACACAGCAATTAGTCTCTCTCCTTATAGTTTCCCTCCCTCCTCATTGCAAATCAGCTTCTTGTAATATTTGAAGACACTTCTCATTTTGCCCTGAGGATATTTTTCATCTAGGCTAAATAGCTTCATTCTCTTCCTCATGGACCTTCACAATTCTGGTCTCCCTCTAGTTTAATGTGACATATGGCTTAACATGTGAAGCCACCACCTGCCCGGGGCCTGGTTTTACACTGGCCTGTAGTTCTTCTACTTCTAATTTGCTTCACCAGGCAGTCCTTCTTGGGACCTCAACTTGTGTGTGAACCCAGGCAACGTTATACCAGAGTTGTTTCTGAATTCTTAAGGCTGTTTCATGGTTTCCTATTGCTTCATAATGAATTATCATAAATATAGTGGCTTAAGATAACACATATTTATTATATCACAGTTTCTGTGGATCAGGAGTCTGGGTCCAGGTTAGCTGAGTTCTCCACTCAGTCTCAGAGGACTGAAAGCTGGCCAGGGTCACAATCGCATCTGAAGTGTAGGTTCCTCATTTATGCCCACTGGTTGTTGGTAGGATTTAGTTCCTTATGTGTGTAGGACTGAAGTCCCCATTTTCTTGCTGGCTATTGCCAGAGGGTCACTCTCAGCTCCTAGAGGCCACCTGCAATTCCCTACCACATGGGCCTTCTCCACACCTTGGTAGTTTACTTTTTTAAGGCATGTAGGAAAGCATCTGCTCTAGATCCTTCAAACCTCTCTGACTTCTGTCTCTGATCTCTATAGACTCTTTTAAAATGTCTCACCTGATTAGATCAGCCCACCATACTGAAGGAGAGGAGATAATACAGGACATGCGTACCCTGGGGTGGGAATCTTGGAGGCCATCTTAGAGTTCTGCCTAACAAATCGCTCTTGGCCTCACATTCCTACATATTCTTGAGAACACTTTATCCACATTTATTGAGTAAATAGTATGGACTAAGCACTGTTCTAGGGACTGGAAATATAGCACTGATGGGGTTTACATTCTGGTAGGGAAGACAAGCAGAAAGCACTTAAAATTTTAATTTGTCAGGTAGGTGATAAGCTGAAAAAGAGGACAGAGTAACGGGTGCTAGTTTAGATAGGTTGGTCTCTTTGATGAGGAAACATTTGAAGAGAGACCAGAAGGAAGTGCAGGAGTGCACCCTGTGGCTCTCTGGAGAAGAGCATTCTAGGCAGAGGCAGAAACAGGTTTAGACTGGAGTGGGAGGGCAGGATTATAAGCAATGAAGGCTGGGGGATGGGTAGGAGAGGAGGTCAGAGAAATCAAAGGGGCTGGATTATGTGAGGCTCTTAGATTTGGTTCTGAGTAAGAAGATAAAAGCAGCTGTAAGGTTTTAGGAAAAGGGATGGCATGATCTTACTAACATTCTGAAATGAGCATTCAGCCTGCTGTGTGGAGAATAGGCTCTAAGGAAGCAAGGGGACAAGGTAGGAGGTTGTTGGAGGAATTCAGGTAGTCGATGATGGAGACTTGGATTAGGTAGTAGTGGGAGAGGTAACAAACCATTTCTAAATCATTCTTCTACCTTTGTTTCAAAATCCTTGCTTCATTGAACCTAATGCAGCATCACCTTATAACTATATCGCCTGCTATATCTTATTTATTAGCCTCCAAATCTCCCAGCCCTCATTTATTAATGCACCTAGCCTATATCTTTTCTCTACCACAGTGGTTCTCAAAGTGTAATTCCAGACCAACAGCAATCAGCAACACCTGGGAACTTATTAAAAAAGCAAATTCTTGGGCCTCACCTCAGATTTACTAAACAAATTCTGGGAATGGGGCCCAGCAGTCTTATCTTTTAACAAGCCTCCAGGTGATTCTAAGGCATGCTTAAATTTGAGAACTGATTTACTATAAATCCTGCTGTTATTCTGGGTAACTTTAGTGATCATATGCATTGTGCCTTCTTCAAGGTCTTTGATTTTATTAACCATAGGGACTTTCACCTTCATTCCACTTCCATACCTACTACTAGGGAAATAACCCTGGGATGCCCCATCTCTGAAATATTCAAGTCTGTGTTCCCCTTTCTGATCATTCCTGTCCTGGCTCCCTCAGTTTCTTCTGCCCACTACCAGTTTTACCAGCCTCCTACCCATCTTCAGTCCCTCTCTAGGCGGCCCTTATCATAGGTCATTTGAAGTATTATCCTTCTGCCAAGCTGTTTGGCAGAATCCCACCCCTGGATTGATGGTACAATCTACCTTCCCTCCTCCAGATTTGGGTAACAGAATGCTGTTTCAGGAAATCATGTAATAATTCAAATTTGGTGCTTCTGTAATTCATTTGCCTTCTCAGGGACGCCTTCCTGGTCACCTTGTTTAAAACCATACTTCCCCCACTGTTAGCATTCCCTATCCTCCTTTCCTGGTTTATTTTTCTCCGTAGAACTTATCACTATTTGATGATGCTACATATTTTCATTGTTTATTGTCTACCTTCCCCAACTAGATAATAAGCTTCATAGGGCAGAAGATTTTTCTGTTTTGTTCATTGTATGTCCTTAGTGTCTAAAGAGTGCCTGACACATAGTAGGTTTTTAGTAATTTTAAAAAATATATACTTTTATGGATTTGAGAGAGAGAGAGAACATTGATGTGAAAGAGAAACATCCATTGGTTGTCTCCCATACACACCCCTACTGGGGACCGAGTCCACAACCTGGTCATGTGCCCTGACTGGGAATCGAACTGGCAACCTTTTGGTGCATGGAATGGCGTTCAACCAACTGAGTCACACCAGCCAGGGCTTAGTAAGTATTTTTGAATAGTGGTCTCCAACTTCATTTGGCTTTCAGCAGTGCCCATTTTCTCTTATATGACCTTCATCAGCTGTCCTTCCATTTTCATCTAAGACTACTCCAGACATTTTCCACTCTTAAACCTTTTTAACATTCATCTCCCCCAAACCTTTAACTCTCCCTCAGTCTCAGCAGACTTCATTGCCTTCTACTTCACTGAGAAAGAGGAGATCATCAGGTGTAATTTTCTCAACTTTTTGCTCCCTTTATGCAAACTCAGAGGCACATGTGCCCATTCTTCCTTTTCTTTCATTCTGAGATCTGTATTTCCTTCTGTCAGTTTTTCACATTTACTATTCCAAATTCTCAGCCTGAAGATCTTCCCAAGTCTGCTCTACCCTGCACAAGAAAAACTTACCCTGTTATATCACTTCCCAGTAGTGTTTCCTATCCTTCCATTACAGTCAAATCAAGAGTTGTTTGCTTGTTTCCCCCTTTTCCCTATTTTGATTCACTTCTTATTCCTCTATCATCATCAGCACCTGACTCAGAGCTACTGGTAAGGTCATGAATGGCTTCCTATGTTCCACACCCAGTGGAAAAATGTATTTCAGTCCTTATTATCCTAGACTTTCCTTTGAGGTTGATGCAAAGATGGAGTATTTTTTTAAAATGTAACTTCCTTGACTCATTTGTTCCTTTATCCAGTCATTTGACAAATATTTACTGAGCACCTGGTATATGTCAGGAACTGGAAATACTGTACAGTGAGCAAGCAGGCAAGACACTGTCCCTGCCTCACAGAGCATACAGTCCTGAAGTGTTCGTATTTTTTTATCAAGTTGGACAAACAAAGTAATCTTACGAGAGCTAATATTATCAAAGGATTAAAATGTGAGCTTTTGAGTCATACAGCAGTGAATTTGAATTTTGACTTTTTAATTTCTAGCTTTGTGACCTTGAGCAAGTGAATTAACCACTCTGAGCCTCGGTTTCTTCATCTATAAAATGATACTCATATTACAGCCTTGTTAAGAGAATTAAACAATATATGTAAAGTGCTTTAGCACAGCACGGGGCTGGGTTTTTTTAAGGTTAGTTATTTTATCCTATTTGGACCTGAAAATGAAATAACATTGTGAAATAAATGCTAAAAGTATGAACTCAGAAAATAATACATATGTATCTCTGAGAGCACCTGACTGTACTTGGGATAGAAAGCCTTTGCTGAGATTGTATTTGAGGAAAAAGTCTGAAAGTGGGTGGAGGTATTGAGGAATAAATCTGGGAGGATTCTTATGATGCCATACACTGGTCTTTGCCACTAGATGGTGAGCTTCTGCAACCAGGGACTGTTTCTCCTTCAGTCTAGTAACCCTACTATGAGGCTTGTGATAGGTACCAAGCATATGTTCATTGAGTAAATCAACTAAAGACTTTTAGGGAAACTACTAGAACCATCTTACTGCCATGGGTTGTTGGAACCTGCCCAGGCTTTGGTTTCCTGCAGCTGACCATTCACAAGCCCCACCCTAGCATGAATCCATGGATCTGGTAGATTCAGAGCATCCCAGATTAAGAAGGGCAAGGCAAGGCCCTACAGTGCTCTGCTCCTGCTCAAGTTGTGTGATGAGGGGCATTTGGCTACTTTGGTTGGTTCCTGGGCAGTTTCTTAGAAATGTTTCCTCAATTGTAAGAATTCCCACCTGAGTGTCTACTTCCTAAGTCCTCTACCTCAGCGTATTCCTGCCTCTTCTTAGCCTCAGTCTCTGAACAGCTAGCTACCTTACTTAGATTCAGACATCCCTTAAAACCTCTATGTTTGGATTCTTTCAAATGCCTTGCTGATCCTTGGTTGACTAAAGTAAGAATTGATTTTCTGTGTTTGAGTTTCTCTGTTTTGTTTTTTAACAGGTTCTCTAGTTGAACAATTAACTACAGAAAAATACGAGTGCATGGTGTGCTGTGAATTGGTTCGCGTCACAGCCCCAGTGTGGAGTTGTCAGAGCTGTTACCATGTCTTTCATTTGAACTGCATAAAGAAATGGGCAAGGTCTCCAGCATCTCAAGCAGGTCAGTCATTTCTCTATTCTGAGTAGTTATTCTCACCCATTGATATATTCAGCTTTTAAAATGCTATTTAGTTCTTGTATATTTATCTGCAGGGAGAGTATATTGTATCAATCACATATTTCAAATGGCCAGTATTACGCTATAGATCTCAAATCAGCTAAACATAACAATAATAAAATATATTTAAGGTAAAATAAAATCAGTCACATTTACTGAAAATGGTAGCTTTTATCTAAGTAGCAACTATAGAAAACATTTCTTGTATAGTTTGCTTTAAAAAATTTATAGGAAGCAGGTGTTTAATTCATACTTGGAATGTTGAAAGTTGTTTTGCCTTTAACAAATCTTCTCCATAGTATTTTGTGGCCTTTTTCAAAGGATTCTAGTATTTATGGGTAATGCAAATGTTGTGCAATATGCTTTCTGAACTGTGGCTCTTCTTCTAATTTAAGATATCCAGGTTTCCCTGCACATACTCAAATATTTTTTTCTTTTTTTTTTTTTCCAAGCCAAGATTCAGATAATGGTTATCTTGAGATTAGAAATACTGTATTAGGCTCTGGCTGGGTAGCTCAGTTGATTGGAGTGTCATTCTGATGCATCAAGGTTGTTGGTTCGATCTCCAGTCAGGGCAACATGTAAGCAGCAACCAGTGAATACATAAATAAGTGGAAGAACAAATTGATGTTTCTCTGTCAGTCTCTCTCTCTTCCCTCTCCCCCCTTCCTCTCTCTCTCTATCAAATCAATTAAAAAAGTTAGAAATACTATAATAGAACATTATCACTACAAAAAAATGATAATTATGTTATGAGGTGGAGGCATTAGCTAACACTTGTAATCATATTGCAGTATGTAAATTTATCAAAGCAACATGTTGTATACCTTAAACTCACATAATGTTATATGTCATTTATTTCTCAGTTAAAAAAAGAACAAAATGGATACCCACTTGACTCATTGTATCTAAAGTGCTTATAAATATAAGCCTAAATGCAGTATTTGAGCAAAGCAATCAGAATTGTGAATTTGTTTCTTTAATGTCTCTGTCCTTAATATGGAAAGTACCACCACTGCTTCAATGTTATGCCTTCCTATAGGTTTAAATTTTTTTTAAAATTACATGTGCTTTTTAAAAGAAATTATTTTGGTTTTCTCTCCTCTTTTTTTTGGCAGATGGCCAGAGTGGTTGGAGGTGTCCTGCCTGTCAGAATGTTTCTGCACATGTTCCTAATACCTATACTTGTTTCTGTGGTAAGTCTTTTTGCATACATTAGAGTCTTTTCCACTCCAGGCATTGTACTTCAGTTCCCAGCCTAGGAGAGGTGGTCTCTTGGGCATGTTTTAGAAGTTACTAATAAGACTTCAAAGCTTCAGGGTCTACAAGAAATCATATGCATGTTGTCCTTCACACAGCTAGAGCCACAGGCCTTTGTGCCCTTGGCAGGCTATTCTGGAGAAGGGCCTTTACATCATGCCCTCCATGCTCACACTACTTCTGAGCTGTTGTGCTGGTCTCCTTGGTCTTCACTTTAGACCAGACCTGATTGGGTGACAAAGGCGGGTATAGACATGGGCTTCTTCTCACTTCTAGCTGTAACAGCTTTGAGATTCCAAATTTGAATAGCATAAAGAAAGAGTAGTGTTGAAGTATACTTTATTTTAACCCAAGGAATCAGTCATTGATGTTTATAATAAAGAGAGAAATTTTCTATAGACCAGCATTGCTAACTCTGTCCTTGTGCTCTCCCTCTTTATGGAACACTCTTCATGTTTTTAAATAGCTCAGTTCCCCTATGTGTTAGGAAAAAACTTTCTGTGATCCAGATGCTCATACCTCTGCTATCCTATTTCCTGCATATATTCCCCCCCTACTTTCCTTCCTATCTTTTAACAACTAATCTTTACCATGTGATTGTTGATTTTTCTTTTCTTTTTTAAGATTTGTAATTGATTTTTAGAGAGAGAGGAAGGGAGAGAGAGAGAGAGAGAGGAACATCGATGTGAGAAACATCGATCAGCTGCCTCCTGCACCCCCATTACTGGGGATCCAGCCCACAACCAGGCATGTGCCCTGACCAGGAATCAAATGGCAACCTTTCCGTGCACGGGATGACTCCCAACCAGCTGAGCCACACTGGCCAGGTCCTTATTTTTCAAATTTTGTTTCTTAAGCATGTTTCCCTCCTTGAATCATTGCACCTTTGCTTCCGTCCTTGTTATCTCCCTGAAACTATATTCAACAGTCATCAATGACCCCTTCTGACCAAATCCAGGGCTAACTTAGACGTTAATCTTTCTGGTAGCACAACAGCCTTTAACACTTTTGACCACACCCTTTTTGAATTGACTAGCTCTTCCTGTTTCTTTCTGCAAACTCATTTTTTGTAACTGATTGGCTCCTATTCCTCCTTTCCCGTTACTTAGTTAGCAGCTTTCACTAAGAGTTTGACCATCACCTCTTTAATTTCTTGACTCAATCTCTTGGTGAGTTCATCAACTATCTAGAATGTTCTTCCCCTTTCCTTTAAATCCTCATCAACTGTGTCATTCAAGATCTGACCTCTAACATTTTCTTCCAAAGGAAGCTTTCTGTTTTTAAAATTTTTATTTATTGATTTTAGAAAGAAAGAGAGAAACATTGATTTGTTGTTCCACTTATTCATGCATTCATTGGTTGGTGCTTGTATTATGCCCCAACTGGGGATCGAACCTGCAACCTTGGTGGGTTGGGACAGCATTCTAACCAACTGAGCTACCCAACCAGGGCAGAAGCTTCCTTTTCTTATTCTCTCTCCCACTTTGGCCAGTCTTTGATTCAGAATCTACTGGTATGTTTTGTTGCCAAAATCTGAGCTCTGTTAGATACTAAATTAGTATTAATTAAAGGAATGAATAATTAAGAATGTACTACTAAAAGGCAACATGAAACTGAAAGCAAGAGAGCAATGGAAAATTGGACAGATAGGGCCCTGGCCAGTGTGGCTCAATGGTTAGTATGTCAGCCTGCACACCAAAGGGTTGTGGGTTCGATTCCCAGTCAGGGCACGTACCTGGGTTGTGGGTTCACTCCCCACCCCCAATCACCCAGTCAGGGCACATGCAGGAGGCAGCCAGTCCATGAGTCTCTCTCATATCAATTTCTCTCTCTCGTTCTCTCTCCCCCTCCTTCCTTCCCTTCCACTCTCTCTGAAAAGCAATGGAAAAAATATCCTCAGATGAGGATCAGCAAAAAAAAGAAAAGAAAGTTGGACAAATAGGACCAATACCAAGGCTTGACAACCTTATTTTAAAGGACTTTTAAGCATAAGTACCACAATGGAATTAAAGATATTGTTAAATATCTTTCACTGATAAAATTAGATATGAGACCCTATGAAGGTAGAAGAAAGTGGGGCAAAGGTCAAGATGATCTCAGCAAAGTAAAATGCTGTGAGAATGTAGTTAATGACCTTATTTTACCTGATAACTTTGCCCCACTCTGTTCTTCTGGAAGTTCATTAATTTAATGTATTTTATTAAGAACTTATTAATGTACCAGACACTGAAGAAACAGAAGAATTTAAGACTATTGACTTCTCAGTGCTTATAGTCCAAGAGTTAGACACAATTAACTTGATGTTCTACTAGAAGTCTAGAGTGCTATGGGAGATCGTTGGGGTGAATTATGACTTCCGGCTGTTTGATTTAAGGGAAGCCTTCATAAAGGAGGTAGAATTAAACTGGGCTTGAAAACTAGGTAAAACCTTGCTAGGAAAGAAGATTTGTTGAAGAGAACAGCATAAGCAGAAGTTAAAAACCAAGAAGGCTTAGAATCTATTGGGAGAAGAGGTGGCCCTCTGATTATGGAGCTCAGGCTCTTTAAAGGCGGAGGAGTGGGAGATGACTGGAAAGGTGGGGCTGACTTCTTGAGGCCAGGCTTAGACATTGGCACCTCATTTGGCTGTCTGTGGAAAGCCACTGAACGCATCAATGTGACTCTTTATTAAGCTTAATCTCATGGCGGTGAGTGGAGTGTTTGGGGGCCTGAACAGTTTGTGGTCTTATAGTAGCCCAGGTAAATAATAAAAGTCTATAATCAGTATTAGAGTGGGGTAGGAGGGAGGACGCACACAATTTCAAAGGTAAACAAATTCACAGCAGTGAGAAAGGGAGGGACCTACATTTGGTTCCAAAGTTGCGTGCTTTTAGAAATGGTGATACCAAGGACAAAAAAGGGCAGATCAGGAGAACCAGGTTTAGTGGGGATGATGAGTTCAGTTTAGAGATGTTGAGTTGGAGGAATAAGACATTCATGAGAGATGTCTGACAAGCAGTTAGGAGTATTTGAAGAGAGATCAGGACTTAGCACTGGTAGTCATCGCAGTTGAGAGTAGTAGACCTGAGTGGGGAAAGAGTGAAAAAGGGGTCTAATATACAACCCTGGCAAAAAAAGGAAAAAACACACATTTAGAGTCAGGATAAAGAGGTGGAGCCATTGAAAGATGTCTGGGGAAAATCAGGTCACTGTATTGGAGCAAGAAAGCACAAAGGCAAGGAAGCTTTTCCAGTAGCCTGGAGATGAGGTTCCAGCCAGTAGAGAGGCTATAGCGGGAGTAGAGGGGGAGGTGAGGTGAGAAATACTAAGTAGAAAAATTGACAAGATTTGGTGATTAAGTAGAATATGGAAAGAAAAAAGGGGTATGACTAGTTTTTGTGTGACTCTGACAGTGATGGTGTTGCTGACAGAAATAGGGAACACTGAAGACAGAGAGGTTTAAGAGGAAAGATGCTAAGTTTGGCTGCAGAGGTAGGCAGTTTGAAGTGACTGAAACCCCAATCACGGATGTTCAGCAGACAGTTGGACAAGCAGGACTGAAACTGAGGCTTCAGGGCAATGCAGAAAAATGTAGATTCTCATTGGCCTTTAGGTATATTAAACCTCACAGCATGAATAAGAGTTTTGAAAGAGACAAGCTACAGAGAAAAACAGAGCACAAGGACTGGGGACAGACTGTCATTTAGGGTGTAAATTGTCCAAGTAAGGATGAATTCCTCTAGGGCAAGGAAGAGTCCTGTGCCTCAGTTTTACCCTTCTTGCCTGTATGCTAAGTTGATGGAAGATGCTTACTAAAGATTTGCAGAGTGACATTGATTGTAAAAGTATAGCCCTTTCATGCCTACCTTATAGCTTTAGAATAGGTAAGTTCTTACTATGCAGTGGACTTATGTTCTTTCCATCTCTTACTGCTCCCCTCCCTCCATTGCTCTCTTCCCTTATTTCCTGTTTTGATCCCATATCAATTCAAGGGCCTATTTACAGAAGGCTTATTTTGTAGGTTTTTTCCTTGGATTAAATGTGTCCATTAGTCAAAGTGGCATTTTTATAAGTAAATAACTTTTTATTTACCTTTTCCAGGTAATCCATAATTTAAGATTTATACTCAGTGAAGCTTTTGATGAATAGCATTAAATTCACCTTTTTATTCTGGGGTGTGCCATAATGTGTTTGTTGAACTAATGAAAACCACACTGATGTTCCATGCTGACTAGCTATATTGTGTTATTTCATTAAAGTCTAGGATGCATTTGAAGTTTGTACCATTGACTGTCTGATCTGATATGTTTTAGGCAAGGTAAAGAATCCTGAATGGAGCAGAAATGAAATTCCACATAGTTGTGGTGAGGTTTGTAGAAAGAAACAGCCTGGACAGGACTGCCCACATTCCTGTAACCTGTAAGTTGGAATGCTAGACCCCTGGGGATTCTTGATGGGCACATTTTGTTCATTTCTTTGAGTATACCTATCTGGTTAGCATGTAACAGGACAGGGTAAAAGGCAATATGGTATCATTTACTGAGCACTGACTCTTAAAGTTAACTCATTGAATCCTTAAAACAACCCAGTGATATATATAGATGTTTGTCATCTCCATTTTACAGATGGGCTCAGAAAGGCCAAATGTCTTGCCCAAGGTCACAGTGCTAGGACATGATAGAGCTGGGATTTCCAAAGCCAGTGTTCCTCTCAGTATATTACACTGCTGGCTTCTAAGATGAAATATCCCCCACTGATAACCAGATCCAAGAGAGTGTATAGGACAGAGTTCTGTCTGGGGAAAGGCAGTTGTGTAGGGCCCTGTTGGGCAGTATTTTTAGGATGTGAATCCCTTTCCTACAATAAGTATCGAGCTTTAGAATGTATTCAGTCAGCTTCTAAATAATAAGATATATGCACAGTAATAAACAATTTATCGGTTACAAACAAATTTGTACAAGCTTTGACCTGAGACCAAGGTTTAATTCCTGGGTTTGATTCACTTAACAGTTACGTGATGTTGGATAAATTACTTAATTTCTCTGAGGCTGTAATATAATAATGATACGAGCTTGTAGAACTTACAGAGTCCTATGATTATTAAATGAATCGATGCACGTAAAAGGCTTGGTACAGATCCTGGCACGTGGTCAAAATATGATAATTGTTGCTTATAGTACCCAAATCTAAGAGTAAAACAGACATCAGAGTGTTATCTTGGTACTTCTGCATGGAGGAGAAGTAAATGTTGAACCAGAGGTCTTGTGGTCAAGATGTAGGGGTGGTGCTCTGGAATTGTCAGTGTGGGGAAAGCTATTCATACTGGACTAAACAGCGTGGCCTGCCATCTTCTGGGCAGTCAGCCTTCCCTTTCCTTTGACTGCTTCAATAGATCCTTCCCCAGAATCCAGGGGACCCATCTATTTAAACTATTCCTTCCCTTAGTTGGCATTTTAAGTAAATTTAGTAATAGGAAATTAATCCTTTGTGTGAATTCTTTTTCTGACACCTTCAGCAGAAATGGGCCCTTTCGGGACTATGAAAGAACATCAGATGTGATGTAGATCAGGTAGTCAACGCCATGTGTGAAGGGAAATGAGGCCATAAAATTTGCTGCTTTGTTGCTCTGGAAATTCTGCCCTTGATTTGGGAACTGACTGACCTTTTACTCCTGTCAGGACCCTAGAGATTGCCATACCCCAGCAGCACCTTCCTTTGAAAAGAAAGCTTTGAGTTTCTCTAATTTATACTTATCGGGACTCAAGCCACAGTTGGCCCCTTTATCTTTCTATTTTGGGTTGTTCTCATAGATTATAAAGTTCTCTAGAGCAGTTCTCAACCCCAGCTACCCATTAGAATCATTTAGGGAGCACTTTTAAACACCAGTGCCCAGTCTCTACCTCAGAGCAATTGAATCAGAACTTCTAGGGGTAGATCTGAGCATCTGTAGTTTTTAAAGCTGTCCAGGTGATTCTAATATGTAGCCAGTGTTGCAAACCATTGCTCTAAAGGTTATAAAAACTTTAAGTCCATGCCTCATGGATATTTGAAATAACCTGGAGTCATCCACTTCTGGCCAATGGTTTATCTGTCAGCCTGAAGTTATTTAAATGTGCAGCCATGAAAATAGTTTCACCTGAAAGGGTTGAGGCATATCATGTGAAATATAACTATTAAATAATGATAATCATCTTTAAACACACACACATGTTTAAACTTAAGTCTTCTGTGGGTTCTGTCTGTCAAAATGCGTCACCTTAGAAGACTAAACACTTGTTCCTTATTGTTACCAGTGTTTAGAGCACATTTAAGAATTATCAGAACTAATTTAGAAGTCACATTAAAAAATCCAACCAGACTTTATAGGCACACCTAGTTTTTATACCAAATTCTATTAACCTACGTGATTAATTAGACTTGGCTTGATTGACTTTCAGTTCCCAAAGGACTGTAATTTGCCATTACTTAGAAAGCCCCAGCCTCCCAAAAAAAAGTTATCATAGAAGATTCCACAGTGTTTTAAGTAGTGGTATTTCTGAACAGGTGTGTAATTTACCAGGGTGTCTGCTTTGAAAAGAACAGTATTTATTTAAATATGTACAGTGGTACCTCGGTTTTCAAATGTCATCTGTTCCGGAAGACCGTTTAAGTTCTAAAACGTTCGAAAACTGAGGAATCAACAGCCGACAGCTAGGCCTCAGGATCTTGCCCTCAGCAGAGGCCGTGTGGCATGTTCGACTTACGAGGCATGTTCGAAAATTGAAGCATTTACTTCCCGGTTTACGGTGTTCATAAACCAAAATGTTCGTCAATGGAGACGTTCAAAAACCAAGATAACACTGTAATTCCATTTTGTAATTTTTTTCTTTGGTGTCTTTATATCATAGCTCCTATAAAAAGCATTCTATTCAGAGATCTAATTGTGACCTATAGCATATTGCTAAGCCAAATTCTTTCCATGAGTCCCTTTCTCCTTTGTTCTCTCCGTGTGTTACCAGCATGCCTCCTCCCTTCATGTCATCCTTTTACTATTCCCATCATTAGCCCATTGTCGGTTATTATTTCACTAGCTGATAAGAAAATGTCTATACTTCTCGTGGACCTAGTAGCTTTGAGCTCTATTATTTTGCTCAGGTTCTAAAGGAGTCCATTGGCCGTCCTGCCGTTCACCTGAGTGGCAAGCAATTTTTATCCCTGCACAGTGCACTAAGTGGGCCAAGACAATATTTGGAAATGTCACCTCTGACTATCAGACCCAAATAAAACCAGCATTTTGACGTGGGCTTTACTTTTCTGGCTAAGTATTCTAAGATGATTATATAAAAATGTTTTTGTCTTTGTTTAAATAGTTTAATCAACTTTAGACAAATACTAAAATATTTCATAGTAGATTCGTTTGTTGCCATATAAAAATGGGAGTCAGCTGGAGCAGCTTTGTTCAGGTTTGGTTATAGGTATGATTTATTCATCTAAGGTTTTCTTTTTTAGTCTCTGCCATCCTGGACCTTGCCCACCCTGTCCTGCCTTTATGACTAAAACATGTGAATGTGGACGGACCAGGTGAGGTTAGAATTGTACTCTAAAGAGGACTCATTTTTCCACATTGATGATTTATGTGTGAATTTCTAAAATAAAAGATTAGTAGGTAGGTGTAAATAGTACTTATTTACTACCATTAATAAATAAATAGCAGGCATAAATTGTACTTTTCTGCAAATAGTAGTTTCCTTTGCTGCCTTGATCCTATTTTGCAGTCTTATAAGTGATTAAAAATTATATGCACAGTGAGATTACTTATTGAAAAGTCAAGGTGACAGGGACTTTTTTCTTAACCTCTCTACTGGGTGAAAGAATCAGGAATTAAACCCAGGACTTTTTAGGTCCAGAAGGCAGGAACCATTCACCTGAGGCTAGCACAGTATCTGGCAACTAGGAGGTTTTCCGTGAATATTGTTAAATGAAATAATAAGTGATCCCAGAGCCTGCCCTTTTTCATTGCAATACAAGTTCTGCATTGTCAGTGCAAGGATCACTGATAACTATAGAGTGCCTCTGAGGTCTAGTAAGACCATAAAATGACTTCCAAACCACCTGATGAGATGGGATCATGCAGATTTTCAATAATATGCATTTTAATGCGTACTGAACTTAATGAGGGTAACAGTGTAGCCTGAGAGTCATATACAAGGGCTCTATGTCAGAAAGACCTGGTCCGACCTGGGTTTTCCCACTTACTAGTTGTTGACCTGGGCAAGTTGCTTGGTCTCATTGAGCCTCATTCTCTTATCATAAAGTAAAAATGATAGTGTTTTCCTCAAGGAATTGATGTTAGCCATGATGCTGAGCACTGGAAACTGATCATGTTAAGTACATAAGTGACTTTTTAAAACAAAATGTATAGTTGAAGTAGGAGTAGAGGTAGAATAAAACTCTTCATGTGGGAGAGTAGACTCCAAGCTCTCTAAACCATTAAGCTGGAAAGAGACCTGAAGACAGTTGTCTGAAAGCCCTGGCCTCATATCCTTCTCAAATCAGGATGTTTATTAGAACAAAGCCAGAATGATTTCCCCATCCTGAAACAAAGTCACATATAGTATGTTCTTAAGTATTGTAGCTGCATAAAATGCCAGAGTGCCAAGACCCAGGAGAATGCCATGGTGTGTTCATTCTGAGAATCTACCTTATTAACTACACCTCTCCAACTTCCTTACTACCATCTATAAGTTACTGTGGGAGCTCCAGGCCCTTTCCCCTCCGGCAGTCTGCTTCATTGGAACTCAGAAGAAATTGCATATAACAAAAGCTTAGGAGTAGCTTTCAGTTCCTCACTGATCAGAAAATAGGGGACAGAGAAACGCAGAATAGGAAATAAGGAAAGCAAAGGAGGAAAAAGAACAAAGTGAGAAGGGGAGAGTAATTGAGGCAATAAGGATTAGGGGAGAGAAACAAAGAAAAAGTGGGGGAAATGGGGCCAAGAGAAAGGTTTGGTAGGTTTTGGGGGAGGGCTTGGGCTTTGGTACTAGTTTAGCTGTCACGCAGGAACTTAATGTCCAACATTAGACCAATGCTGTCTTTACATCTACTCTCTTTACAGGCACACAGTTCGCTGTGGTCAGGCTGTCTCAGTCCACTGTTCTAACCCATGTGAGAATATTTTGAATTGTGGTCAGCACCACTGTGCTGAGCTGTGCCATGGGGGTCAGTGCCAGCCTTGCCGGATTATATTGAACCAAGGTAAGTGGTGAACACACTATCCAGCAATACTTGTGTACTTTTTTGGAACCTTATTTATGGTTTTCTTTTCTTTTTTTAATATGTTTTTATTGATTTCAGAGAGGAAGAGAGAAGGGGAGAGAGATAGAAACATCAATGATGAGAGAGAATGACCAATCCGCTGCCTCCTGCACGCCCCCCACTGGGGGTCGAACCCACAACCCAGGCATGTGCCCTGACCCGGAATTGAACCTTGATCTTCTGGACCATAGGTAGATGCTCAGCTGCTGAGCTATGCCCAGCCCGGCTCCATTGATTTTTTAGAGGAGGGGCAAGGAGAGAGAGAGAGGGAGAGAAACATTGATGTGGCAGAGATGCATCAATTGGTTGCCTCCCACCTACACCCCTACCAGGGCTGGGGATTGAGCCTACAACTGAGGTATGTGCCGTTGACTGGGAATCAAACCCAGGCCCCTCCTGTCCAAAGGCTGACACTCTAACCACTGAGCCAAACTGGCTAGGGCCCTGTTTCACTCTTTACACAAAAATTAATTCTACATGGATCACAGACTTAAATGTAAAACACAGAAAATAAAGCTTCCAGCCCAGCCAGGTGTGGCTCAGCGGTTAAGCGTCAACCTAGGATCCAGGCGATCAGGGTTCGATTCCCGGTCAAGGCACATGCCCGGGTTGCGGGCTGCAGCGGATCAATGACTCTCTCATCATTGATGTTTCTGTCTCTCTCTCCCTCTCCTTTCCTCTCTCTGAAATCAATAAAGATATATTTAAAAAAGAAAAAAAAAAAAAACAAGCTTCCACAAGAAACTGTAAGAGAATATTTTCATGACTTTGGGTTTAGGCAAAGATGTATTGGACAGAGCAACAAAAAGACTAATCATAAAAGAAAACACTATTAAGGCTTTTACTCAGCTAAATCAGTCTTTTTGTACAAATTTGAATGGATCCCAATCTCTTCTTTTCCATTTTTGTGTAGTTGATTTTTCAAACTCAGTTGAGGACTTTTTATTTGTCTGCATTAAATATCTAGCAAAGTATTTTGGCCATGAGTATAGTTATCTTTTCAAATTACAATTCTCCTGGGATCCCTTTCAGCTTTATTTAGACTTTTAATAAGCATTCCTTCTAGGTCTTCATTCCTAGGTTGATTAAAATGCTGAACAGGTTAAGGCTGGCAGTAAGACCTTCTTCTAGACTGTCTTTGGTTTCTTAATATTCTTTAACCAGCTCCACCCAACTCTTCTGTCACCAGCTCATAGTTCTGTCTCCTGTGCCTAAGCATAGCAGAGCTTTTTAGTATTGTGCTCATATTATTTCCTGGTTGATTTAGGGGCTCCATTTTGTTAAAATTTTCTGACCCTTGATTCTTTTATTCACAGCTGTGTACTCATATCTCTGAAAAAAGCCTCTGTTCTGTTTGAGCAGAAACTTAGAAAAAAAAAAAAAAGCCTGCTTGCAGAAGTTCCCATTTGCTGGGGTTTGTTTATCAATTCATTGATTCCAAAAATACTGATTGAGTTTTTTCATCATCTATATTAATTCATCCAATAAGTATTGAATGAATGAGCGATTAGATGAATTTGAATGAATGAATGTGTTTTAGAACAGGGAATGAAACTGCACATATACTTACGGAAGATGTAATGTGTATGTGTGTGTGTGTGTGTGTGTGTGTGTATATATATATATGTTTTTATTATTTTTGAATTTATTGAGGTGACATTGGTTAATAAAATTATATAGTTTTCAGGTGTACAATTCTATAATAAATCATCTATATATTGTATTGTATGCTCATCACCCCAAGTCCAGTCTCCTTCCATCACCATTTATCCCTCCCATAAAATACTTTTTATTATGAACTATACAAAATCAAAACTCCAAATAAGTACTGCTTAAAAGATGCACTGACATTTATATTTCAAAATAACGCTATATAATTAGTTTTTTTAAATCTGAGCTAGTACAATATCATTTATCTTTACTAAGACCAAAAACAACCGCAGCCACATTAATACTTGATAGAATTTTGATGTCTGATAATCCCTGTGTATCAGACAGCATCCAGTTAAAATATCAGTATAGCTTTCATTCATCAAAGGAAATATTTTACTCAAGTTCCCAAAACAAATTTGAGGAGTTATGTTGGGTTTGAATTGAAGAAAAAGACCCAGTTAAAATACTGAAACAAAGTTTTCTTTTGGTGGAAGCTGAAATTGGTGTATACATTCTAATCAAAAATCTATTCCATGTGGCATTTTTAAAATTTTTAAAAATACCAGGCCAAACCCTTAGCTCCCTTCACTGCTTTTGCTTTCCTTTTCCCCTTCCCTGTCTTTCACTTTGCCTTCAGCCTTTTTTCTTTGCCTCTGGTTTATCCATATGGAGTACTGTCCATACTGGTCTAGAAGACTTCCTATTTCTCTTAATATCAGACTCCAAATTTTTACTCAGTGTGAATACTTGAACATGATTACTTCAAATTCAACTCACAATCCTTGGTTTTCAATTATGGCCTTATGGACCAGATATTAGTCTCTTAATGTAGAGGATTGCTTCACTTTAATTCTGTTTTCAGGATATGCTAAGAGGCACCATGAGATACTGACAGAGTCTAATGAGGATTTTTTATTTCCTCTTATGACGAAGCTCTTAGGTGGGACTTAGAGCTGCTGTCTAAGCCACATTCATTTCTGCATCAGGTCTGATCACACTAATGAATAGTATTTTGTGTTTCCCTATAGATTATTTGGCATATTGTAAGAACCCATACAGGTTACTAATCTCTTGTTTTTGAAATTGTGTCCTAAAGTATGCTACTGTGGCAGTACCTCCCGAGATGTGTTATGTGGAACGGACATAGGAAAGTCTGATGGATTTGGGGATTTTGGCTGTTTAAAGATATGTGGCAAGTAAGGTTTTATGTTTTTTCTCAGTTAGAATAAAGCTGTATTTTTTTAATGTAACGATTGTATAACAGTGTTGTTGTTTTTAACAGGGACTTGAAATGTGGAAACCACATGTGTTCTCAAGTGTGCCACCCTCAGCCCTGCCAGCCGTGCCCACGACTCCCCCATCTGGTGCGCTATTGCCCTTGTGGGCAAACTCCTCTCAGCCAATTGCTAGAACTTGGAAGTAGTGGTCGGAAAACGTGCATGGATCCTGTCCCTACATGTGGAAAAGTGTGCGGCAAGCCTCTGCCTTGTGGTTCCTTAGGTAACTAGTAGACATATGAATATAAATGTTTGGCATCTAATGACTACTTAAGCAAAATTGTTTTAAACTCTAGTTACAATATTATAGGTTTTTTTCTAAATATTAGGATCAAATTTGGATGGGCACATTTTCTTCCCTCCTCAAAATATAGTTATGAAAACTCACATTTACCCAAGTGATTTCTCTTTCTGATTTGGATCTTTTATTGCTAACTCAGGTCACTTGTGGTGAGATACTGTTCTATTCTGGGGCGGGGGAGGGTATCATTTCTCTTAGTAGTTTACACTAGTGTGAACTCCAGATATACTTTTACTAATCCAGGGTTTAATTAGTGTTTAAAAGCATTTTTATATAACAGGAACATCTTAACTAAAATTCTAAGTACACTAAAGCTTTAGCCATTTGGACCACTCAAGAAATGTCATTCTTTATAGCTAAGTTTCCCATCTAGCTGAGGATAATACCTCCTGAGCATAATTTTATTATTTATTTTTATTTATTTATTTATTTTTAAATATATCTTTATTGATTTCAGAGAGAGGAAAGGAGAGGGAGACAGACAGAAACGTCAATGATGAGAATCATTGATGACTGCAGCTCGCAACCTGGGCATGTGCCCTGACCGGGAATTGAACCCCAATCGCCTGGATCCTAGGTCGGCGCTCAACCGCTGAGCCACGCTTGGCCGGGCCTGAGCATAATTTTAGATAGACATTTTTCTAAAATTCTCTTCTTTAAACAGCAGTAATTGAGATAATTTATTTCCCGTTGTTGACCTAGAGTCATCATTTTTCTGAACCATCATTTTTCTGAATACAGCGATGTCCTCAGGGACTGCTGAGGTTTCTCAGGTGATTTCCCCATACCAATGTGCAGTTTGAATTGTTTCATCTATTTGTTAAAACTTTTTGTTGTTTTCCTTATCAATGCTTGTTCTACCTTTAGTGGCTCTCCTTTCTGACTTGTGGCTCCTGATTACTTGGATATAGAAACCAGAAAAGGCTTTTTGGAATTATCTATAAAGTAGTAGTTTGATTTTCTAAATGTGACTTTCTACGGGAGTCCTTGGGAAATATACATGTACAGTTTTGCAATGACCTGGCAACTTCTCTTCTAAGTGAGTGTTCTAAGGCTGTGTGCTTAGAAAAATGAAAGTGGGCAACGAAGTCTGAATCAAAGAGGTGTTCCTGTAACTAACTGTGATAAAGCTAAAATCTTTAGGTTGGATTTGCATTTTTATCAAAAAGAAAGAGTTCACACTTCTTCCAAGTACCAGCAGGAACCAGTAGGAGCACCCTACTTCTGTTTTTCAATCTGACTTTAAAATTATATATAGAAGAAAAATGTTCTCTTCTCATTTTAATACATGTTCCAACTGCATTAGGAAAATCAATTGTCTATTGGTTCTCCTTGTCTACTGTGAAAGTGTATCTTCAGATAAACCCTGTGAGATGGAGATCAAATGACTTTTAAATCAAGAAGGATGGTAAAGATCTTCCTTTTCAAAAAGCACATGAGTCAGTTGTGTAAGAATTTCATATATAATCACCAGAAATCCTACCCTTAGGCTAAGATATCTTGTTGACAATGAGAAAAAGAGGAAATGTAAAATGGGTAATGCAAAAGGACTTGGGCAAGAGAAGGATAGGAACTATCAGTATGAACTTACCTGGGGGTGAGAGAAAACTAGGTCAAGGGATTCAAGGGTAACCACTGCAATCCTGGCAAACTTTTAAGGAACTAGGCTGAGTTGGATTGGGAAGCTCAAAAGCAAGCCCATGGCTAGTGGTAACAATGGCTCTCAAGTTTATTCAGATCTGGCATATCTGTAGAAAGCTTGTTTAGGTCTTCTAGTATCTCACCCAGCAAGAAATTTCCGTTCTAGACATTTAGCTTTAGTACAAGAGACTCTGGCGTTCTGCTTTCAGGATGGTAGCATTAGCAGCTACTTGGACCCATTCCCCAGCAAAACAAGCAGAGCTGGCGAAAACTATTAAAAAAAATAACCATTTAAAGTCTCTGGAAATTGTCCTTCAGGAATACATCAATTAAGTATTTATTGAAGAAAATCTACTGAAAATAAGAACAGCAGGAATCGGCCCACTTCCTCCTTCCTTTCCCTCCAACCCCAGCTTTGTGCTTAACAAAAGCTTCATTCAGTATGAGTGTACCCAAGAAAACAGGGCTTCCTCTGCCCTCAGCTCCTAGTCAAGAGTTTTTCACTGGGTGAAGCAAACTACCAGCATTTCTCATCCCCTCTAACTCCAAGTTAAAGAGGCTAGATTTCAGGTAAGCACAGCTGAGAGGTTGGGGGCTTTCTTCCTTCATACAGCCCCACCCACGAGTTGGAGGCTCTAGCCCAGCCACAACAGGTCAGAATACTGGGCCCCCATTCACCCTCACCCTTACTCACTTGTAAGGCAGAGGTTTCACACAAGGAGAGTTAAGGTAAGAAACCCAAAGGCTAGTATCGCATCTAGCACCCAAAGTAGTGGCTGAGACTTCCCAGGGGAAGAGGCAGTCCATAAGAAGACAAGCTCCAAAGTATTCCCCAAAGGAACTGACTTTAATTTGAAACAGGGTGTAGGGGAAAGTTCAGGCCTAAAGCCCTTTAGAAAACAATAACTCCTCTTAATTAAGAGCGACAAGCTAAACTACAGGCCAGTTAGTTCACCAGAAAAAATAAAAAAACAGGGGAAGAGGTAGCTAAGAGGAGCCTTCCTGGGGTCAGAACAAACCTCATAGATTGGCCTCAAAGACTACCCCTGCCCAGATTTCCTTGGATCAGACTGCTGAGTGATTTATGCCTCAAGGCATTGTTGAAAATAGTAGAGCAACCAACCAGTCAGCAATTAGTGGATCCTCAAGAGTGAGGGTAATACCAAATGAGGCAGACAGCTTAACAGATCAGGGAAAGAGAGCTCTGCTAAAACCATTGTCATCCCAGGGTGACTGCACACCCCAAGACTCTGCAATCCAAAGAATGACACCAAACACTTCACACCATAGGGACAATAGATTTCACTAAAGTAGCCTAAACAAGTCACAAAACAAATAAACAAGCAAACAACAAAAACACTGTGGAGAGAGAGAAAGCTGTATCCAGAGTTGCTACAAACAAATATATTACCCAAAATGTCTGGTTTCTAGCAAAAATTATGAACTATACAAAGAAATGGGGAAAAACACAGGCAACAAAAAGTTTCTATTTTCTGTGAAAGTAACCTGTGTCAGATTTAACAAAACCTTCAAGGTAGCATGTTGAAAGAACTAAAGGAAACCATACTTAAAGATGTAAAGGAAGATATAAAGACAGTGTCTCATCAAATAGAGAATATCAATAGAAATAGAAATAATAAAAAAGAACCAAATGGAAAATCTGGAGTTGAGAAGTTCAGTAATTAAGACGAAAAACTCATTAAAAGTGCTCAACAGTAGATTTGAGCTGGCAGACAAAAGGATGAAATGAATGTGAAGATACATTGATAGAGGTTATATAATCCAAAGAACAGAGACAATAAAATGAAGAAAAATGAACAGTGTATCTTTAAGCACACCACATATACAGTAGATGACAGTAATACCAGGAGGGGAGAAAAGAGCAGAAAAATATTCAAAGAAACTAGCTGAAAACTTTCAAAATTTATTTAAAAACATTTATATATCCAAGAAATCCAACAAACTAATAGGGTAAATTCAAAAAGCTCCACACAGAGACAAATAGTAAAAATACTGAAAGCTTAAGACAAGGAGAAAATCTTTTAAATAGCAAGAGAAAAATGACTCAAGGGAACCCCTATGGGATTAACAAAGACTTCTCATCAGAAACGATGGAGAACACTACATCACAACCAGAAAGCAGTGGGATGACCTATTCAAAGTGCTGAAAGAAAAAGACCTGCCAACCAAGAATCTTAAATCCAGCAAGACTGTCTTTCAAATATGAAGATAAAAATGGAGAATTTGTTGCTACTTTACCATAATACTAAAGGAAGTTCTTTAGACTGAAAGCGAGTAAACCCAGATGTAAATTCAACTCCGTATGAGAAAAACAAAAAGTAAAGGTGTTACATAATTATAAAAGACAATATGAATGCATATTCTTTTCTCAACTTATTTAAAAAGCAATTATATAAAATAATGTGCACATAATTCAGTTGTTTGGCCTATAATGTGTAGAAATATATCTGATAAAAACAGCACAAAGGATGTAAGTGGGATCAATATTTTATTGGAGTAAGGAAATGATACCAGATAGTAACTCAGATTCACAGAAACAAATTAAGGAAACAAGAAATAAAACAAACTATAAATATATCCTGTTCTCTTTTCTCAGCTTCTTTAGTACACCATAACATTATATATAAGTAATAATTACAGCAATATATTATTGGGTTTGTAACATATATATATAGATGTCATATGTATAGCAATAATACCACAAAAGAGAAGAGGGAATGCAGTTATATTGGAATAAGTCTTCTATATCTCACTGGAATTAGGTTAGTTAATTAAATCTGGAGCTAATTAAATTCTGATAAGGTACATATGGTAAGCCCTAGAGTAACCGTTAAGAAAATAACAAAGATGTAGTGAAAAATACTATTAAAAGAAAAAATTGTTATAGGAGAAAATATTCACCTAATGCAAAAGAAAGCAGTAAAAGATGATTAGATTAACAATAAAGACTGTAAGTGAAATGGCAGGCGTAAATCCAGTTATCAGTAATAATGTGAATGGATTAAACAATTAAACAAAAAAAAATCATCAAACCAAATTTAGAAAATAAAAAGCAAGACCCAACTATATGCTACCTTCAAGAAATAGACATTAGAATAAAAGCTACAGTTAGGCTGAAGGTGTTCCCTGAGGGGTCCTTGAAACAGGACTTGTCCTAAACCTCGTTTAGCAGAATAAATGTCAGGCCACCTATCACAAGATGTTCACAGAGCTCAAGTCAGTGAGATTATAGATCATAGCTTCTGATTTTTTTTTTTTGATTGAGTTTTAGAGAGAGGAAGAGAGACAAATAGAAACACCATCGATCAGCTGCCTCCTGCACGCCCCCTACTGGCTGGCAACCCGGGCATGTGCCCTGACCCAGAATTGAACCTTTACCTCTTCATTCCTTGGTAGATGCTCAACCACTGAGCCACAACAGCTGGGCAGCTTCTGATTATTTTTGACCCCCAGATGATTTTTAGTCAAGAGCACTTCAGTAGAGTCACCCATGGCTACAATTTTAAGGAGATCCAAGTGTAACCTGGAGACTTGGGGCCTAAATAAGGAAAGAGACAGGTCTGTTCTTTTTTATTTTTTTTTAAATATTTTTGTTTGTTTTTGTTTTGTTTTTGAGAGAGAGAAGACGAGAAAGGGAGAGAGAGAAACAATGAGAGAAACATCGATGGGCTGCCTCCTGCGCGCCCCCTAGTGGGGATCAAACGCATAACCCGAGCATGTGCCCTGACTGAGAATTGAACTGGGGACCTCTCAGTGCATGAGACAGTGTTCAACCAAATGAGTCACACTGGCCAGGGTGAGACAAATCTGTTCTCTCACTTCAGCAAAGCACCATGCAGCCCAAAGCATATTCCACTGACTAATGCTGGTCCCTGGCCTTGCTGGAAAAGGTCCAGCCTGCTAGATGAAGGGAAGATAGGGGAAAAGGCATTAATGATATCCTCCTTCCCTCAACTCTGATTCTGGAGTTGCAGGGAACAGAGGTAGAAGACCTATGTGGCTAGTGAATTTGGGAGTCTGCAATGAGTAGTTGCAATTTTCATTTCTAGCTCTTTTCATTTTTATTAAAGATTTCATTCATACCTGTGAAAAGCTCTGCCATGAAGGAGACTGTGGACCATGTTCTCGCACATCAGTTATTGCCTGCAGATGCTCTTTCAGAACAAAGGTAAATCCTAAAAAATGCTAGTTATTGCCCCCAGTGCCTTTTAAATTGGTGATTATGGAAGGGGAGGAATCAAAATAATCTCAATTTTATTCCTGTCATACTATGTATGATTCATTCAGTTCAGCCAATGTATACTGACACCTACTAGGCTAGGCATCTGGGGTGGAAAGGGGATCCAGCTGTAAAAGCTCAGAGGCCAGTCATGGGGATGAGACATGTATTCAGATAGTTTTAACGAATCAAGTGGGATAATGCTAGATGCCTGAAGAGAAGAACAATAGCACTGCTGCAAAGAGTTAACTAACTAAGAAGTTAGAGGGAACATAGTCCACAAGATTGCCCTCACTTCTGACACCCACTGCAAGAGTTTAGACAGCTGCTGAATTAGACAGAACAGTCCACATGACCGCCTCAAGGTTTGATAATTTACTAGAAGGACTCACAGAACTCAGTGGAAGCTGTTCGAGTCATGATTACAGTATATTACAGGGAAAGGATACAGATTAAAATCAGCTGAAGGAAGAAGTGTGTGGCAGAGTCCAAGAAAGTACCAAATGTGAAGCTTCCAGTTCTCTCCCCACGACGTTGAAAAAGAGTTACTTTTTCAGTATCAGTATGTATAAATGGAGTATTGCCAACCTGAGAAGCTCACCCAGTTTTTATTGGGACTCCATTGTGTAGGCATGATTGACTGCCAGTATAGCTGATCTGTGTCCAGTCCTTCCAGAGGTCTGCTGATACTGTGTGACCCAAAGCTCCTACCCTAAATAACATCATTGGTCTTTCTAGTGTGGCCTGCCCCCACCCTAAGACTATCCAGTGTGGCCAGCTTGTACTGTGAATGATATTATTACACTGTATGACCCAAGTCACTTGTGACCCAAGGCCTCAGTCATACAGTGACACTCCTATCAGGCATGATATTCTAAGGGCTTCTATATTACCTCCCAAAAGCCAATGACAAAAGTCAGACCTCCTTTAGGTAATGATTATCCACTATACAACTGTTTTATAAGTTGATAAATATAGTCAGTTTGTCTACATTCTGCACTGGGCAGTTTTAATTGGACTTTGTGTTATAAAAGGGGTTTCTTATCATTTTGAAATTAGGCCATAGTCCCCATTCCTATGTTGTAACCAGAAGAGGCAGGAAGCCTTCCTGCGGAAGTCTTTGGGTAATCAACTTGAAGAACAAACTGAATGTTGATGTATCCTGCTCTCTGACCTACTGCTAGTCACTTCAGTGCATATCGGCACCTGTCCCAGCAGAGCACAGGCCAGGGTGGAGACAGAATTCTGAGCAGTTCTGTTTCTTAAATGTAGCCCAATGTCTGGGTATCAGCTGACTTGCAAAGGTTTCTGAGAATATAAGTTGGGAGATACATTAATAGTTAAGCATCAGAATAAGAGAAATGTAAAAGCACAGTTTACATGCAAAAGTTAAGTGAGCATTATGGGGGTTTTTTTGTTTCTTTTTTTTTTTTTTTCTCCTTTTTTTAAAAAAAACACATATCTTTATTGATTTCAGAGAGAGGAAAGGAGGGGGAGAGAGAGAGATAGAGACATCAATGGTGAGAGAGGCATTGATCGGCTGCCTAGCCCGCAACCGGGGCATGTGCCCTGACTGGGAATCGAACCCTGATCTCCTGGATTCTAGGTCGATGCTCAACCGCTGAGCCATGCCCAGCTGGGCTTGTTTATTTTTTTCTGAAAGGAACCACAGAATACATGGCAGAAAGGTGTTTTGAATGTCAGGTACGGGGCCACTTTATGCTTTGTAAAATACAAGCTTGAAGACTGAGATGCTATGATTTAGTAATGGCAAGTTTAGTAATACCCAGAGGTGTTCTTTTTTTTTTGAAGATATCTATTGATTTCAGAGAGGAAGGGAGAGGGAGAAAGAGAGTTGAAATATCAATGGTGAGAGAGTCATTGATCGGCTGGCCCCTGCAAGCCCCCAACTGGGGGTTGAGCCCAAAACCTGGGCATGTGCCCTGACCGGGAATCGAACTTTGATCTTTTGAATCCTGGGTCGGTGCTCAACCACTGAGCCACGCTTGGCCAGGCAGAGGTGTTCTTTGTGACGAAGAATCACAAGCAATGTTGGGACACATGAGCTTGAAATGGCTACTATCAATTTGCTTCTTTCTCCCTAGCAGTCCCTTCCTCGTTCAGCTTTTTTTTCTCATTCACTCTGTCCTCACTCCCTCTAATAGCGGGCCCCATGACAGTGAGTGTATTCTTAAAAAGCTATGTGTAAATTTTAATCACTTTGGTGGGAGCCTGAGAAATGTATGGTATATCTTACTACCTCTTTACAAAGAATACTGTACTTAAGTTCTTATTGGTAATTCGTGTTGTGGAGATTTATGAGAGCTCTCCTTTCCCTAAAGTTGTAAATACCACTCCAGTATGTCATTTCCTTTGTATAATCCAATGTTTGCATTAATTGGAAAATTCACTCAGACAATTTCCTGAGCCACTTTTGCTTTATATCTCTAGAGAGCATATGGGGAACTTTTTCATATCATCAAACCCAGCCAACTCATTAATTTATCTAAAACTTCTTCTAGCCAAAAAGATTCAATTTTTTAGACCTCTTCACTTCTGTTATCAACTCGAGTAGCTGCTCTTTTTTTTTTTTTTTTTTTTTTTTTTTTTTTT